AAAATGTTGGAAAATATTCTCCGTAATATCATTTTAGAAATATTGGCTTTAAATTTACTATAGTCATCGCAATTATTTTCTGATAATGTTGTGTATGGTCAACCATACCTTTCAAACATGGGAATATTATGTAATATTTTATATACATAAAAAAATTTTAAATTATTTAAATCTTAATGCAAAATAATATAGTTTTCACTTAATAACAATATCACCTAACCAGATGAAAGTCATGCAAAATTTTAAGATTTATATATTATAAATTATTATACTTTAAAAAAAAAAACAATTCTTATAAAAATTCATTATTTATTAAAAAAAATTTTTTTTCTTAAGACAATAGTGTCCTTAATAAATCTTATTTGTAAAAGCAATTAAAAGCTTCTCTAATTAAATAATGTCATAGTTTTATTGAATTTTTTATTTTGTGATCCGGGGTAGATTTTCAGGAAATGAGTAGTAGTTTGAAAAAATAATATTGATGTTTTACATTCTCTAAGGAGTCCTGCTTTTAACTAATGAAAGAAATTTTTGGATGAAAATTTACTTTCTCAAAATTAAGAAATGAAATTAAAAAAAAATAATATATAAAAAAAAAAAAAATAAAAAAAAATTTCATTCATTTGTGAATAAGTCCTGAAAATTTTTAAAATCAATTTGATTTTTGCAAAATTTCCAAAAAAAGGTATTTTATAACACAAATTGTAAATATTATGTTGACTGCTAATGAAAAAAAAAAAGAAAAAGATTTTTAACCCAAATTTTGATTGTGTTAGAAAGGATTAAAAAATTTAATAAAATAATAAAAAAAAAAACATTGGTTTTTTCTCTTAATTATAACAAATATTTTGATGATAAAACTGTTTTTATTAAGCTTATGGCCTTTTTTCATGCTGTTTTTTTTTTTTTTTTTTTTCAATATAAAAGTGGAGGTACCTTGTTAAGTTACTTAGTCTTTTGTTGATTGATCTTTGTTTTTTGTTTTTTTCTTTTGTATGAAATTTAACAAATACCCAACGTCAATTGCCATTTTCTATCTTCTTGAATCCCGTTCATCTTTTCTCCTTTCCTCAATTCTCCCTATTCTCAGACTTCTCTTTCGCTTTCACTTCCTGCAACACTTTATGTAATAGTAAATTGCCATCTTCTCTCTTCTTGAATCCCGTTCATCTTTTGTCCTTTCCTCAATCCTCCCTATTCTCAGACTTCACTTTCACTTCCTGTAACCCTCTATGTAATAGTGAATTGCCATCTTCTCTCTTCTTGAATCCCGTTCATCTTTTGTCCTTTCCTCAATCCTCTCTATTCTCAGACTTCTCTTTCACTTTCGCTTCCTGTAACACCCTGCGTACTAGTTGCATTCCTGCCCTGCTTGGAGTGAAATGATAAAAACAAAAATGTCTAAATTATGTAAATGTAATAATATTAGGGTGAATTGCACCTAATATTAATGTTCATTTATGTGTGTTGGGGTGTGTGATATCTATATTTTCATTTGGCAATTGATTTTTGCTAATGATAAATGTTTTATTGATGTGGAAAGTCCTGGATCTTCTCATAAATTCATTTATGAGTTAAGTAGTTTTGCATGAGTTCACCTTGCTATATGAAATAGTCACATTATCTTAAAAAAAAGAAATTGAAGGAAAATCCAGCAATTATGTTTTAATATCTTTACCAGATATTCATGATGGTGGAGATAAATTGCTAAAATTTGTGTTTTAAAAAAAAAAAAAAAAATTGATGCGAAATAAAAATCTACTTTTATCCATAATGTCTTTGAATCCAAGGAAATTTTCAAATTTTCTGAAAAAGAAAACCAGGCTTTGTCTCTTTTCTATATTTTTACTGTGCAGAAAAGGAGTATTTTTTTTTTTTAAATGACTATAGCCAAATTTTCCATAATATTCAAACTGATTCTGAATTCCTGAAAAATAACAGGAACTTTATTGAATTTCTGATTGTGCAAATACCTGTTTTTTAACATTGTCATTATCATCATGCATTATGATAATGTAATTCTATTGTTCTAAGTTATGAATGGAAACAATAAAAAATCTTTGGATGATGAAAGTTCTTGCTATGACAACCAATTACTTTCAATGTTCAAATTTTAATCACCTATTGTGTTATATTTCTTTCATATTTCACAAGTTACTTCAAATGAGCATTTTTTTTTTTCTTCAACTTTACAGTGACATAACCCAATTATTACCCTTTTCATGTAGGATATGGTTTTCTGAGCAGGAAAACTAAAACTAAAGCTAAGGGCGGTAAATGTTTTTTTTTATTTTTGGATTCAGCACCCCAAAATTGTTAAAAATTAGCCAAAACATCCTATTTCAAAAGAAATTCTTGCAGGCCTGTGTAATCCTACTAAAAACAACCTTTGTTCTAATTTGTTTTCATTTTTTATTGAAAACACAAATATTTCATTTATTGATCTGATAATCCTTAAATATTGTGAGGTCAAACAGGACACATGCTCACTCAATAGTGTTGCACTGCCAACCAACGAACACCACAGGAGAGGCTGTTCATGGATGTGCAAGTTGTTCCCTTCTGATTAGTTGCAAAGTTACATTAAGGTTACTTAACCAGTTTTGAGATATTCAAAATGTCTGGATACATTCCTTGCAGACCTTATATTTGAGTATTTAAACTTTTAGTATTTATACAATTACCATTGTACTAAGGTTTTTTTTGTTTGTCTTTTGTTTTTTTGTTTAATCTCTTCATCCCAAGCAAGGTAATAAAGCCACTAAGATACAAAGAATTACTGAGAGTAAAATCATTAAGGAAAGAGGACAATAAAAGAACAAGATTTAAGGAGACAGAAGATAACATTTAAATTTTTGAAGATCAAAGTCAATCAGAAAGCAAGAAGCCAGAAGAAAGTTCCACAAGCAAAAAGTGTAAGAGAAGAAACTGTTAGCATAGAACATATGGTTGCATTTAGCTATTTCAGCTGTAAAATGATGAGACCTTGCTGTCAATCTATTACTGCGCATAAATTCATTGTGTCAAGGTACCAGTAGAACAATTACCATGAAAATATTTATTTAAAAAGGCAAAAGGAAGCTATGTTACAGTGGTGGGAAAGTGACTGAAGCAGAGATGCCAGGTCAGGGTTAGATTGCAGATTCTTTCAATTTGGAAATTTACTTGAGTACCAATATTTATATATTATAAATATAATATATATATCATAATATTTAGTTGGATACTAATATTGTATAATGGTACAGTGCATTCAACATTATAAACAAATGAATAAGTCTTTGATAGTATTTGAATCCCAAGCAAATTATTTTATTATACATCAACCACTATTTCTTTATTTTAAACTGCCACTCTAATTTCTGTCTAAGATTCTCAGATGAGAATTTTTATTTATATGTGGAATATTATTGTCATCTTTGTTGTTATAATTACAATGTTTCAGCCATTGTACCCTCTGTCCTTCATCAGGTGCTTTTCAATCTGAGTAACCTTCAGTGAATTTCAAATTGGACCTCTCATTTAATCTACAGGGGTAGATTGTTTTTGTTCTGTTGACCATGTCTCAGGATATCTTGTTGTCTTCTTTTATGTTCCAGGTCCCTTTGGAATATAGATGATCATGGCCCTTCACATCTCCCTGTCCCTTGTAGCTCTTAATAAGTTGGTCTTTTTGTTATTTCTTCCAAACCCTGTTCTTCTCAAGTTCAAGTATGTCATATGTTGCTTTCCTCTGTCCTGTGAGTATCAGATTTTCCAAGCCCTCCTTCCTCATTAAATTTCCTTTTTGTTTCCAAAACGTTGTTATTGCTCATATGTATGGCTCATGGTATCCTCAGCATCTTTCTGAAGAACCACATTTCGAGTCTCCTGTTCATCTTTGAGGGGATTATTCAGCATTCACTGCCATACAGGAGGACAGATATCATGCAACAGTTCGGTACTCTTTTTTTTTTTTTTTTTTTTTTTTTTTTTTTTTTAAACAAAATTTTTCTCTCTTAATACTCTTCTTAGCTTTTGGAATGCATTTTTGGCCATCCCAATATGTCTTCAGATCTCAGATGTCACACTTTTTTGATAATGTTGTCTATAGTCAACCATACCTTTCAAACATGGGAACATTACGTAATATTTTATATACATAAAAAGTTTTTTAAAAGATTTAGAATACTTCTCAGATATTTAAATTTCTGTACCTGCTTGATTTTAGTGTCCCCGACCTGTAATTTGCATTTTGGGCTCACCCTTTTGCTGATAACCATGCATTCTGTCTTCTTGTAGTTTATGCTTAGTCCTTTCTTCTTGTTTTCCTTCACTACCTTTTTCTTTAATACTACTCAAATATTACACACCATTTTTCCATGGTGAGCAGAATTAAAATTTATTCCATAGATTAAATAAAGGTTGAAGATTGCCAAGATCAACAAAACACTTGATGAAGGTTGGAAGGCACAATGGCCAAAATGTGATAACAACAACAAAGATGAGGACAACCGTCTGCATGTAAATAATAACTCTAGATGTCAGTTCTTGTCAGATTGTTTAAACTTCAGGTTATTAAAACTGATTTTTTATAGTAAAAAAAAAAAACAAAAAAAAACTAGTATGATTCTTACAATGATAGAATTATTTTTTTCTGTATATTTACAGTTAAAAAGAACAACTGAGAAGTTTTTTGTTTAGTCACATAAATTTAATAATGTCTTATCCCCCAAATACCAATGCTTCAAACACTAAATTTGGTTTGTCTCTCCATCAAATTTTGGAATTTGTTCTTTGTGTCTTATGAACTGACTGGCTATTGATTAGTTTTTTTTGTTTTTTTTTAATAACTCCTGCACACATCTAAGAACTGAGGCAGAGATAAAAAAAAAACAACTTTGAAATAGATGGAGAGTAGAGTAGATTGAGCTGCTTGACATCTTCCCCACCTCCTTTCTGCTGTAGAAAACTTTGTTTTTTTTCAATATGCACTTTTGAATGAGTTACTCCCCTTAACC